TGATGTTGTTGTTGTTGATGTTGATGCTGTTGTTGTGTGTTGAAAGTTTGCTGACGAGTTATTTTGTGCGGCAATGATGATGTTTGCAATCGAGATTTATGTGTTGCTGTTGATTTTGTTGTTGTTGGTGTGTGGATATGTTGTTGTTGTTGTTGTGGTTGTTGTTGTTTGTGTGCTGGGAAGCTGGCCCGCGGAGGTCCGTGTTCAAAACCGGGTTCAAGAAATAAGATTGTTGATGTCGGTTTGGAAATTTGTTGTGTGGTTGTTGCTGTTGTTGTTGTTGCTGTTGTTGTTGTTGTTGCTCAACAAATTTCGGCACGGCTGATATTGCTACGTCAGGCAAGTTAATTTCATTATTTTTGTTGTTGTTGTTTTCAGATGGGTTGTTGTTATTGTTGTCGTTGTTATTGTTGCAAGATATTGGCTGTCTATGTTGTTGTTGTTGTTGATGATGATGTTGCAAATGATGGTTACTAACATGATGCTGTTTTTGATGTTGTTGGTCACGGTAATTATAATACTGCTGTTGTTGTTGTTGCTGTTGCTGATGCTGATGATGATTTTGTTGTTGAGGATGATGATGATGATGTTGTTGGTGATGGATAACCGGAAATGCCAGCGTTCCGGAAGAGAGCGATCTGGAATGGAAATGTGAAGATGACGATGAAGAGGAAGTAGATGATGTTGGAGTGAGGTATGGAGTTGCCAGGGTAGAAGGTCTATGGCTCTCTAAACTGCAATGGTAGTTGAATTTAAATCGAAATTGAAAATTTTGTGACCATTTTTTGAGATATTTCATTAAATTTTGAAAAACAATCATATCGTAGACCGACATTTAAAACACGGTCAATATAAAACTTTAAAAAAATTGCGGTATAACTCAAGAACTGGTCTGTTTTTTTTAAATCCGATCACTCCACTTCAAGCCGATGATGTGAGTTTATGCAAATTTCAAACTTATTTGTAATGAAGAATATCACGTATATGCCATTGTAATCACAATCAGACCACCAAGTTTCAACTACTGTTCAAAACTGAAATAAAAATGAATCTCTCTTTCTTTCTCTCACTCTTTCTCTCTTTTTTTTCTCTCTCTCTCTCATTCTAATTACAAACCTTGTTTCAATCAGATGTATGGCGGACAATACAGACTCGTTAGAACCGGATATCGTAACTAATCGTTCGTCGGTTTTGTCATCACTGCTCGATATCTTGATACTGGCTCCAGATTGATGTCTTTGTGTGTGTTTGTGTGTGTGTGTTTGTATGTGTTTGTATGTTTGTGTTTGTATGTGTGTGTGTGCGTGCGTGTGTGTGTTATCGTGTAATTAACAGCATCAGTTTCGTGGTCGTCATCGCCATAGTCATCATTCCGGAAATCATCATCACCATAGTGAAATAGTCACCAAAATCTCTCACCTTATCTCATTAATTTTAGAACCGCCTTTTCCGATAACGCAGCCAATCAGATCGTTCGGTATGCTTAAGATGTGATTTAATTGGTTAGCGTGATTTCCATTGGCTACTGCTATTGGCTGACCTGACGCAGGGGCGAAATTATAGCCTGGCGCTATTGGCTGAATCAGCGTGCCAGTTGGAAATGCTGAAACACGATTGGTTGGAAATTTAGTTGAGTATTAAAACTCTTAATTAAATATATTTTAATAATTTTAAAGTGAAACCACTACCAAAGTTGTTTTAATAATAAATACAATCAGAGTAAAACTAAAGCTATTTACAATTACATTTGCCATAAGTGAGGAGCAACTGAAAACTCAATTACAACAACAACATCGGTCAACAATCAAATCAACAAAGACGGCCCAGGCGAGGAAGTTGTAGCGTTCTAACCAGTTGCGTAGGGCAGTGCCACAATGGTCTGTTGGGAGGAGATGAAGGTTGGGTAGGTGGCAAAGGGGTTGACCAAAGGGGAGTACTGCAGAGGGCTTGCCATCTGGGTGAAAATTTTTTTTCATTCGAATAGTTAAAATGTAAAAATACAAAGAAACGAGCTGACGAGTTGTGAAGAGCGCACATCATTATCATCACCATCATCACCATCATCATCACCATCACCATCATCATCACCATCATCATTATCATCATCATCATCATCATCATTATCATCATCATCATCATCATCATCAGGTTCACCGTAACCAAAAACACCAAAAAACCTGATAACTTCCGTGTGGTGCAACTAAACTAGCAGCACCAGCACTGCCAGCACTGATAACGGCGGTCGCGCTTGCATTTGAATCCAGCTGCATAGGCACAACCAAACTTATGGGCCGTGTGGGCCGAGGTTTGTATTGCGAAACCGGCCCTTTTATTGGACACTGTGTAATGAGTGTACGTATATGTGTGTGTGTTTGTGTGTGTGTGTGCGTGCGTGCGTATGTATGTGTGTGCGTGCGTGCGTGCGTGTGTGTGTGTGGTGTGTGTGTGTGTGAATGTGTGTTTATATAAACGTGTATGTGTGTGTGTATGTGTGTGTGTGTGTGTGAATGTGTGTTTATATAAACGTGTGTGTGTATGTGTGTGTGTAAATGTGTGTTTATATATACGTGTGTGTGTGTGTGTATGTGTGTGTGTGTGTGTATATGCTGAACCGACCTCGAGGACGACCTCGCAGAGAGTCTTGACTGCAGAGATGACGTTCTCCACGCCCCCCGATACAGTCACCAACCTACGGACCATGGTGACGTCACAATATTGATGACGTCATAATGATGATGATGATGATGAAGAAGATGATGATGATGATGAAGAAGATGATGATGTAAATGATGATGATGTCATGAGGGTGAAAATAATGCTAAATGTTGTTATTATTATTTTCTTTACTATTCTTATTCATTATTATTATTATTATTGTTGTTGTTGTTGTTAACATTGCTATTATTAAAAACCTTTCTGTGGAGTTGGGAAGTAAGTCTCCTGAAATTTGAACGGAAGCTCCGGATACCTGAATGAATGAATGAATGAACGAACGAATGAATGAATGAATGAATGAATGAATAAATAAATGAATGAATGAACGAGTGAATAATTAAGTAGATGAATTCATAAATATCGAATTAATTAATTGATTGATTGACAAACAAACAAACAGAAAAGAATAAACGAACAAGCGATGAATGAAAGAATGGCAAACTGAATGAATGAAAAAAAACCCTAGATAAATAAACGAATAATAATGGATTGGAAGAATGGAAGAAAAACAGATATACCCGTAGATAAAACAACAAAGAAAAATAATTCTACATCCCGACCCTTCTGTTTTGTTTCCAACTCGTTCGATAGATTTAATTTTACTGATTGCAAAATTGGCGCTACACAAATGATGACGATGATGATGGTGTCGTTGTCGATGATGATGATAGTGGTGATGATTTTGTTTTTGTTGGTGATGATGATGACGACGACGACGATGATGATGATGATAAAAAAGTGAATGATAAAGATGATTGATTGATTGCCATTTACCAAAACGCATTAGAAGAGAAAGGGAATGAATGAATGAATGATTGAATGAAAGAATAAGCAAACAGACAAATGAATGAACGAATGATTGAATGAATGAATGAATGAATGAATGAATGAATGAATGAATGAATGAATGAATGAATGAATGAATGAATGAATGAATGAATGAATGAATGAATGAATGAATGAATGAATGAATGAATGAATGAACGAATGAACCAACGAATAAAGAAAAAAGAAAAAGCGAACAATTGAACGAACGAACGAACGAATGAATACTATATTAATAAAAGAACGAACGAAAGAATGCATGAATTGGCGAATGAATGAATGAATGAACGAATGAATGAATGAATGAACGAATGATTGAATGAATGAAGGAAAGACCGAATGAATTAATGAATGAAGCAGTTATGGATGAGGAAAAGGAAGATAGAGATAATGACCGAATCTTTGCTGCCTGGCATGATGATGACGACGACGACGATGATGATGATAACTACAATGATGATGATGATGATAACTACAATGATGATGATGATAACTACAATGATGATGATGAGGATGTTTATGTTGATGAGAAAAAACCTTTAACAACGACAAACACGACTTGATGACAATGCTTTAGGATTCACTGTACTACTGCTTTCGAAGCAACAACTAAACTGCTATTACAGCTACTACTACTACTACTGCTTTTACTACTACCACTACTACTACTGCTACAACTATTACTACTACTTTTCCTACTACTACTACTACACCACTGATACTATTATTATTATTACTAAGACAACTACTTCTACCACGGTTACTACAACTTCAACTATTACAACGAAGCTACCACTATCACTGCTGCTGCTATTGTTGTGGCCGCTGTTACTACTACTACTAGTACTATTACTATTGTTACTAGTACTACTACTACTACTATTACTGAAAATTCTTAATAGCTTACGTTCGTTTGAAAGCCTATGAGATAATATAGCCTCGTAGACCTAAAGATTATATAGGAAATAATGATGACGATGATGATGTTGTTGCTGTTGATGATGATAATGATGAAGGTGTTGGCGATGATGATAATGACGACGATGATGATGATGTTGATGATGATGATGATGGCGACGATGGTGATAGTATTGTTGACTGACTGCTGTTCTGTTGGTGATGACGTTGATGAGTGTGAGAGTACTGCTGCTGCTGATAATAATGATGATGATAATCGTGAGAGTTGAAAAATTGATGATGATGTTTATGGTGGTGGTGAAAATGGCGACGATGTTAATGAGAATTGAGAAAAATAATAGTGACGACGACGATGACGACGATGATGATTTGATGATGGTTGGTGATGATGACGACGTTCATAATGGTGGTTGGTGATGATGATGATGACAATGACGATGATGCTGTCTAAAAAATTATGGCGACAGATACGACGACGACGATGATGGGTATGACGAAGAAGTAGGAGATGAAAGAAATAGAAAATAATGATGATGAAGATGGTGATGGCGACGATGAAGATGACAATTTATAAAATGGATGGGCGATTTCTGCTTTCTTCTCTCTCTCTCTCTCTCTCTCTCTCTCTCTCCATCTATCTCTCTTTGTCTTCATCTTTCTCTTTTCTTTTTTCACTCTTTCTGTTTATCAATTTTTATCTGTCTCTTTCTCTTTCTATTTTTTTTTCTTTCTTTTCTTTTGTCTTTCACTCCTTTATTTCTCTAATAGTTATTCTTTTCTCGTTATTTCATTCTTTTTTCAACTTCCTCCTCTTACTTCGTCATTTTCATCCTTTCGTTCCTCTTTCGTTTTCAGAGTATCCATGACTATTTGTCAATCCACTTCTTCCTTTCGTATCAATTATTTTCTTTTATTTATCATTTTGCACTTTCTACTTTTATGGTTCACTCTCTCTCTTTCTCTCTCTCTTTTTTTTCTTCTCTCTCTCTCTCGTTCTCTCTTTCTCTTTTTCATCTCCTTTTCTTTTTCATTCCATCTCTCATTTCCTTCATAATTTTTTTGCTGTAAGCTTGCTTAAGTTGCGAACTAGTGTGGATTTTATTGTATGCAAATAATATTTTCTCAGATTATCATCATCGTCAGCTTCATCTTTTTCCACCTCCTCTTCCTCCTCCTCTTCCTCCTCCTCATCATCATTATCATTACGTTGACGTCATCATTGCTTTGACGTCATCGTCCTTTTTCTGACGTCATCACCATCGTCGTCGTCGTTATTATTATCGTTGTTGTTGTTGTTGTTGTCATTATCTCATTATAATCAAATCATTAACTACAACGACAACATTACAACAACAAAAACATCATCAGCAACAATAACAAAATCAATAATTCAATTCAATAATGAGTCTATTCAGCAAAAAACATCGGCATCATTACAACAACAACAACAACAACATTACTACAACAATAACATCAACAACAACAACAACAACATCAACACTATTACGACAACATCATTACAACAACAACAACAACATCAACAACAACATCAACAACAACATCATCAACAAAAACATCAACAAATGCCATTAAAATATTTTTCTTTCACCCGATACACGGACGAATGACTTTTTATTTCATTTCAATTCAAGTCACCACCGACTGATTTTTCCGCGCTCCACTGGAGCGGCCATTTTTAAATATGGCGGCCACTCATCCTACTTCCGGTTTTCCTTCGATTTTGCATTTCCGGTGGGCGCGTTCGCCAGAACTCGCTGTCGATGATAATTAATTCATTAATATACTGCTACATGCTTCGGTCAATGTTGATGTCGATGCGGTTGTAGTTGTTATTGTTGTTGATTATGTTTTGTTGTTGATGTTGTTGTTGTCGTTAATGTTGTTGTTGTCGTCGTCGTTGTTGTGGTTGTGTCAGGTTATTGATTTTTTGGTGACGTCATTTTAAGTATGTCTAATATTAATGTTCAATATTGCATGTGTCTGGTGATGATGACAAAATAAAATTTTGAAAATTAATGATTAAAGTAGTAGTAGTAGTAGTAGCAGTAACAACAAAAACAGCAGCAGCAACAGCAGCAGTAATAGTAGTAATAGTAGCAGTAGAAGCAGCTGCAGTAGTAGTAGTAGTTGTATTAATGATAGTAGTAGATGCAGCAGAAATAAGTTATTTCTTAATGATGACAGAACTTTGTACCAAAGAAAACTTCATAATGAAAAAAAAACAAAAAATATACATCCAAAGACAAGGAAAAATCCATAGTCATAAAAAAAATCCATAAACATAAAAAACATACATAGACATAAAAATATACACAGACATAAAAGCACACACAGACATAAAAGCATACATACAAATTGGCAAACAATAAATATGGCTGCAACAAGGTCAATCAAATTAAGAATATGTATGTACGTACCTATGTATTTGCGTATGTATGTATGTATATGTGTTTGTATGTATGCGTATGTTTGTATGTATGTATGTGTGTGTATGCGTGTATGTATGTAGGTGTGTTTGTATGTGTATGTATGTTTATACTTATATTTGATTGGCCTCATCGACACCAGTTGCAATTGTAATTTCATTGGAGATGATTAAAATTTCTGTCATGTATGCTAAATACGTCTCCATCCTTGTACAAGATGAAAAAAAAACGTATTTTGTGTACGTAATTTTTAAATTGGGTATTTGTGGTACAGTGCTTTTTTGGTAGTATTTTATTTTCTTTGTTTGTGGTGCGGAAAAAATATAAAGCCGAAGCGTATTCCTTCTTCCATACGTTCTGTGCAGTTTTCAGTTCTATTAACATACCCTATTGATATATTAATATGAATTATTATTTAAAGGTTAAAGGTTAAAGTTCATTCTCTCTCACGGTACTTTCTTTAGAGGAATCAACTACAACACACACACACACACACACACACACACACACAGAGAAAGAAGAATCAACTACAACACACACACACACTAAAAAGAGGGATAGTTGGGATTTCTACGCTTTGGGACTAGGTTTCTGCAACAGCTAGGCCAGGCACCTCTTAAACACCGTCTACACACTATTGTTATTGTATGAAATACAATGCTTGCTGATAATACTGTATTAATACTGTATTGTATTTAACAAGGTATTTAATACGCAAATACCTTTCTTATTGTACTTACTTACTAATAATACTGTACTTTAAAAAAGTATGTTTGTATACAGAATTCTTCTTTCTTATTTTTCAATAAAGATAATACAAGACATGCTACCAATACCGTACTCAACAGGGTGTTTAAATGCACAAAATACGTACCTCTCTAATTTCTTTGATCTTAGTACCGTTCCGACCGATAATGGAGCCACACTGAATGGCTGGAAGAATCAGACGGAGACCGACTTGGTGTCTGCTGATTTCAGAGCCGCCAAGAACCGCGTTTAACTGTTGTAGGTCCTGTTTTGTTGTGGTTGCTAATGTTGTTTGTTGGTGCTTTTGTTGTTGTTTGCATGTGTGACCATTAAGCCGACTGACCGACCAGCCAATCAGCCAACCAGCCAATCAGCCAACCAGCCAATCAGCCAACCAGCCAATCAACCAACCAGCCAATCAACCAACCAGCCAATCAACCAACCAGCCAATCAACAAACCAGCCAATCAGCCAACTAGCCAATCAATTAACCTCTTCAAATCGACAGCAGACGAGTTTGAAGGTGGCGACGATTTGACCCAACGAGCCGGTAACTGAAACCAACCTCTCGGGACTTGTTGCGTCAGAAATATTTATTCTCGCCCCTGTCTTTATTATGAAAATAATTATGAAATTATAATCATAATTATTATTATGACAATCTAATTATGTTAATTATGCAATTAGTAGAGAGTTTAATGATGAGCATTGAGCAATAAAGAATTTAATTGAGGTTTCAAAAGAAATAGTCTACACAGAATATGATTGGCGCGGCGTGTTGTTGCCATACATACATACATACATGAATATACACATACATAGATACATACATACATACATACATACATACAAACAAACAAACATACATACAAACATACATACATATCATAGACATACAAACAGAGATACAAATATACAGACATACATACAAACATGCATAACTCACCTTTCCAATAATGCTTCCAGCTTCCTAAATTACAAAAGCAATAATAATAATTATAGTAATGCTAGTTATAATAATAATAATTATTATTATTAGTTTTATTATAAATAACATAGCCATAACATAATTGTTATAAATATAATTGTTTTTGTAATTATATTATGAATTGTTATCTGTATAGTTATCATAATTATAGCCTTATCATTATAAATATTATCATTGTCATTATTTATATTATTGTTGTTGTTGCTGTTGTTGCTGTTGCTGTTGTTGTTGTTGTTGTTGTTGTTGTTGTTGTTACTCAAGATCATCATTGTTATTATCGTCATTGTAGTCATTTACTTGAATGTCGTCACAGTAACCATCACATGGTCATCATCATCTTCATCGTCATCCTCCTCCTCCTCATCATCATCATCATCGTCATCATCTTCATCATCATCATCACCATCAGTACTTCCAGCCTAACATGAGAAAATTGCATTAGCCGCTTATTAATTGATTCATTCACTAATAATTACATTAGCCAGGAGCTGTTATCTATGGCTACTCTGAATAGTATGGGTGCGTGTGTGTGTGTATGTGTGTGTGTGTGCGTGATGTATCTATGTACGTATGTGTGTATTTATGTATGTATGTATGTGTATGTATGTTTGTATGGTTCTGTATATGAATGTATATGTATGTTTGTAGTATGTTTGCCTGTATGTTTGACTGTTTCAGTGTGTGTGTGATGTGTGTGTGTGTGTGAGAGAGAGAGAGAAAGAGAGAGAGAGTTTGAATTTAATGAGCAGTCCAATGCACATCAACGAGTAGAGCTTCTTTTTCTCTGAGGTTTTTTGCCTCTTTTTTGGGGGATGAGTGTGTCTCTTCCTCTCTTTCACTAGTTTTCTTTTATTTTATTCATTTTTTGTGTATTTTCACTCTCTCTCTCTCTCTCTCTTTCTCTTTCATTCTCTCTTTCTCTTTCATTCTCTCTCTCTTTCTCTCTTAGTTTATCTATCTAACTATCTACTCTCTCTTCTTCCCATCTCTTCTTCTCTCTCCCTATTTATACACGCATAGAGAAAGACCTGTTGCTATCGTTGATAAATTTATGAATGGATTATGACAATATGATAAATTGATTGTTAAGTATCTCTTGAGTGAATTTGTGTGTGTGTGTGTGCGTGAGTGTTTGTGTGTGCGTACGTGTGTGTATGTGTGTGCGTGTATGTGTGCGTGTGTAAGTTTAACCACGTTTAAAAATTTCTGTTTCACATTCGGTGCAAGAGAATTTATTTTATATATTTTTTTCTCATAACTATTTATTTGTGTTTTATTTATTTTCAATTAATTTCCATTAAATTTCGTTTTAGTTCAATTGGTTTTTTAAATAAATTGATAGATAATTTATTATTAAAATAGACTTAATTTTGAATAAAAATAACAGAGAGAGGGAGAGAGAGAGAGAAAGAGAGAGAAAAAGAATGTATGTGTGCGTGTTTCTAACAAGAGTAAATTTCTATTAATAATATTTTTTAAATTTAAAAATAAATTTGAATTGGACAAAAAAAATAAAAATATCAAATTCTTAGAAATTCTCTTACTCACTCAATCACTCTCCCTTTGTCTCTCTTTCTTTCTTTCAATCTCTCTCTTTCTCTCTTTTTCTTTCTCTTTCTTTGTCTCTCTTTCTCTTTATATATACATATATATATACATATATATATTTTTTATAAATTCTACCGAATGTTTGGCGTTAATATGTTTGTAGTTCGTTTTTTCGATTTTTCTCACTAAAGTTTTTTGGTGAACGTTTAGTTTATTAAATTCAAAATAAA